TTTACAGGTTATCATTCACATTTTAGGCCTAAAAATTACTTTAAACCCCCAAACATGATATATTTTCTGAAAGCCCAGACCCTATAAAATAAAATGGTGGCAGTTGCAAATTTTTATGTTGCACGACATTAGCGCAACCTATTATCAAACCCAAGAATTTAGTGAAAAATGCACTTGTTAAATTTAGTGCCCCAAAACACTTTTTACAACATAAAATATGAGGTTACGTTGAGTAAATAGATACCTAACACGCCCAGGTTAAAAATTGTGTGCGTTCGTGAAACTACGACAGAATTCAGTACTCCAAAAAGTCCATACATGACGCTTTAAAAGCCACTACAGGTCATCTGTTTAGATCCCGGTTACCGGATCGTAGAAGCGAGCAGCTGAGCCGCAAGAATCACTTCTACTGTAAAGCCGGTCGCCGGCTCGACAAAACAGAACAGACTCTCAGTGGCTAAAAGCCGCCGGGAGTCTGTGTAACCCCTTCAGACTTCATGACGGGATTATAACGTCATAGGTCGTGAAGAGGTTAAGTAGGGATGCACCGATACCTTTTTTCGGTATCGACTACCAATATTTATATTTTGGTACTTGCCGATACCGAGTACTGATACCGGTACTTCCGGTAGCATGGAGCCAGCTACCTAGGAAATGAGGATACTACCCACCTCCCGGCTTCTTGATTGCCCAGGAAGCATGCTTTTTGGCTGGTTCAATGTTGACTGTCCAGAAAGCTGGCTTCCCAGCCAATCAGAATCCAGCCGGCTTCCTGGCCAATCAACATTGAGCTGGCCAAAAGCATGGAGTCGGCATTGTTACCAGCCGCCTGGCTTCCTGATTGACCGTGAAGCTGGCTCCATGCTGTTTGGCTGGATCGATGTTGATTGGCTGGGAAGCCGGCTGTTTGGTACGAGTACTCACCCAAATACTTGGTATCGGCACCGATACCGATAAGGTAGATGAACAGCTGCTGAAGACTGCTCTGTGATCTTGTACTGAACAGGAAGTTCAGGGAAGCAGAGGTGGGAGAGTTGAACTGTTTGGAAACATGATAACTGTAACTGCTTGGGCAAAGATGTAAATAAATACTTTGTTGGGCAATGTATATTTGGTTGGTCTGGATTCGTTATTAAAAAAGTGTAAGAGGGTGTCCCGTAATGATTTTGCAGTGGGGCCCCATCACACATAGTTATGATCCTACACGGTAGAATACATTTTTTTTACCGCCTTCAGTGAGAACTGTGTCTTCCTCTTAGCTCCAGCCCTGTGGTAAACAGAGGAAGTTAGCAATGTTGAAATTATTCGAGGAGGGGGGCGGCTCATGTAAAGTACATTTTTCAGTTTACTCTCATTATATCGACAAAAGATGAATTCTCATTGGTTGCTTTGGGTTGCCGGAGCTTCTATGTTAATCTCTACTTTATTGAGTAAGACTGCCTGTGTCTGCAGAGGTGAGTCATATATACTCCACTACACATACAGTAGGATCAATTCAGAAAGGTTGCACACAGGGGCGTCCCGAGGCTGGGTGTTACCTGGTCTCTAGAACGGGTGACACCCGCCGTGCCCTCATCGCGCGTGCGCATGACGTTGTCCTTGCACATGCGTGATGACGTCATCGCACATGGGCGGCCATCCGATGGATGCCTGCCGGTGGCCATCTTGGTGATAGACGCCGGCAGAGAGAGGAGGGGACGTTCACCCGGCGGGATGAGGTATGCCGCCGGGTCCCCTCCTCTCTCCTGACACTGTCTGGCTCTTGGTCCATGACCGAGTGCCCGACTTTTTAGAGGGGGTGACACCAAAATGACTGTCAGTCATTTTGGTGTCACCCCTATAATGGTGTCACCCGGGTCCGGGCTGGTGCATACCTAGGCGACTAGTGACCGCGTGGCAATCATGTACGATTCTGCGCGGTCACACAGTCACCCAGCACAGACGGTCGCACTGTGTGTGCCATTATTTTCTAATGGCACCCAAGTTGCGCTGGGCGGATTGTGCGGTTTCCCACCACGATTCCTCCCGTGCATCCGAACACTAAAACAGCCGTGCGTCGTGTATAGCAAAAAAAGGTACATGTGCCTTTTTTCTGCAATTGCCGCACGGATGTCACCCCATTGAAATCAATGGGGCTGCGCAGCAATCGCTGCCTGCATTGTGCAGGACTGCCTGATCTCGGAACGCGCGATCCCGGATCACTTAGGTCTGCACCAGGCCTTATACTGTGATTGTACCTGTAGTGGTCTTTGGTTTGATTCAAAGTAGATCCTTTAATGTGTATACCTTGCTTCATGGCACTCCAGTTTTCTGGCAGAGTCCAAAAAAACATGCCGTTATTTTAATTGGATTGAAAGTAATTTGGCACTCATTTGTGTCACGTTGATGGGGACATTAGATGATGAATTCCCCAGAAGCAGGAATGTGAATGGTTTAGTGTTATCTGTCATCTGCAAAATGCATTGGCCCTGTTACAATAAGAGATGAGAATAATACAATAAGAGATAGAGAATGTTTACAGTTTCTGGAAAGAACACCGATTTGATTGCTGTATGATAGAAACAGCGTGCAATTAAAATTCCTATGATGGGAATTAAAGGAAAAGAAATAAATAGCAAAATCATTACAGCCCATCACTGAGCAATTAAAGCGAATTCTTAAGGTGAAGAGCCATCCTCTTAAAGTGGACCTGAAGTGTCATTGTAATTAAATTGGTTCCATGACTAAGGCAGTTGTCACGCAGGTAGTCACATGTAGAACTACTCACAAAAATAAACAGCAAATTGTTTACTGGATATGTATGTGTTGTGACACAGAAACCACTAAGATCCAAGTTGCTGGCTCTGATGGATTATATTCTTCAAACCTCAGATGATTGCTGTTAAAATATACAGTACTTAAAGCCAAAACTATTTTTTTTCATTTTCAGTGGAATAGGGAATGGTTACAACCTCTTTCAGATTTTTTTTTAACCATCGGTGTCCCACTTCAGAGATTTCCCTTCACTTCCTCTTTGGTAGACACAAGAGACATTCACCGGAATTCATACAGAGTGTCTGGAAACAGGCACAGGAATTTGGCGCAAGCACCAACATCTGCAGTTCAGAGGCACAATGAGGCCAGAGTGTCCATACTGGACACTTCATCCTCAGTGAAGCTCGCCAACACTGAGGCTGATAAAATCACAGGCTCAGCGTTACTGAGCTCCCACCCGGCCCCTGCACCTGTCACACAAAAGACTTAAGGTGCCCATACACCTTATGAATATCCGATTTTCGTATGCGATCGCGTTTTCGTCCGATATTCGTAAGGTTGATTGGCAATGAACAACCCGCAAATACTGTACAATCGATCGACTTTTGACTAACCTGCAGGTTAGAAAACTTCGGTCAGTCGTACGGTTTTCGCAAGGTTGGTGGCGTTTCCGTACGTCAAAATTCGTACAATTTACACTGCACATGGTGAAAATACGTGTGGTCGATTAACGCAATTCGTCCAGGTGCTTTCTTTTACTTACTGCTGATTTGCGATAATCGGGGCAGGATGGGGCCGCCGTATGAAAAACGTACGACGGTTCGATCATCGAACGAAAAGTTTAATTCGATGATCGCAAAGTGTATGGGCAGCTTTATACTGTAGGTTGGCAGAGCCTGATAGGGAATTGACAGCTGGCACTGGGCGGGTGCCATAGCCAATTAACAAGCTGGCTATGGCACAAGCTCACTACCTGCTGCCAATCAGCAGCAGAGCAGACCTGATGTTCCAGTTCTCTGAATTCCCCATCAGGCTCTACCCACTCAAAGTCACTGACAGTGGGCTTCACAGGATGTTAAGGAAGTTCTTGGCTAAAGCTGACAGCATCCTTAATGACCAGTGATGCTAACAGTGAGCAGAGCCTGATGGGGAATTCAGAGAGCTGAGTTCCCCATCCGGTCCGCTCTGCCTGCAGATTGATAGCTGGCAGTTGGTGGGTGCCATAGCCAATAGCAGACTGGTTATGGCACCGGCCCACTGCCTGCTGTCAATCAACAGCAGAGTGGACTTAATAGGGAGTCAGCTTTCAGAATTCCCCATCAGGTTCTACCCGCTCAGTGTCACTAAGACAATTAAATGTAAACAAGCTAGCAGAAATGGCAGCCGGGAATTTGGCGCCGTCAGAAAAGTGCTGTTAGGACTTTATTGAATTCTCCTAATTGGCAGGTGCTGGTTTTCAACAATAGTAAAACACAGGCATGTTTACAGGCATTTTTATTGTTTTTTTGTTTTTATTGTTGTATTGTTTACAGGCATTCTCCTCCTGTTTCTTAGAGCTGTATACCATATAGCTCACCTACCACACACATGCCCCATAGCATCCATCCAAGAGCGCTGAATATTGTTCTGTTTTTTTAGGTGCTGGTTTTCAGAATACAATAGGCTGGCGGGAGGGATTTCTCATCCACACTGTTTCGTGTGGATGGAGGAATCTGTTGGATTTCTTTCGCTCAGTACTCAATCTGAACGATTTGAGCGTGGGTGGAATTGCTTTATTCTCTTTATTCCTTTATAGTTTCAAATGTTTGCAGCACTTATGTAGTTGTAGCAACATTAAAGAGGCCCTGTTCCCTTGGGACCTTGTTGCCGTTGTGACTTCTGTCATGGAAAAAAGATACTTATGTGACCTTGGTGGCCACAGGAGAGATCCCATTGATTCTCGGTGCTGTATATGTGCTATGCTTCGCCACAGGAGACTTCCAGGCCAAGCAGCACACCAACTGGCCCAGTAAGGCACGCTTACATTTCATATCCACTTCCAATTGTGTCTTCTAAAGGACAAATCATCTGCATTTCCTGCTCTACATGCTGGAACGCAGCCCAGGAAGACACCTGATTACCGGTTACACCACGTGTGACTCTTGACAGAAACAGGGCTGTCATTTCAGCCCTCACACCTGCTCAGCTGCTAACATGACGCAACTAGATTTAATCATGAAGATGCCACTTCCAGCTCACCCGGAAAACAGGTTACAGAATGTGCTGAGTAGGGAGAGAGCAGCTAGAGTTCTTTGACCGCCAACCACACGAGACGAGATTTCATTCTGCTGCCTGGCCTGGGGGATTCTGGGAGGACCACTTCTAAAAACTTAGGAGTGGCAAAGGTTTCCTCCTTCGTGTGTGAAGTTTGGAGAATCAATGAGCGGAATTATACAAAGTAACTGTAAGTTTACAAGTCCTTACGTGAACCTGTTTTGGCTGATTGTCGCCTGATGCTAGAAAATAGCTTTTGTGGGCCTGGATGGTGATGAAATGTTACCACTTGCTTTTGTAAGTGACATGAACATCCAGAGATAAGAACTCTGCCGTAACGAGATCAGCCAATATGTCTTGTCAGACTATATGATCTATTGAGAGTGGAGCGTATGTATGTTGTATTTTATCTATATATACAGTATGTGTGTGTGTTTATTATATGAATGCTACTGGCTCAAAGAGTTTAGCAGCTTCTGTTAGTGTTTATAGCATTTAAAAGGAAATTCATAGTTTTCTGTATATTTTATTTTTAATATTTTTTTTTAAATTTAATTATTATTTTTAATTATAATTGTTATATTAACCACTTGCTGACCATATGTTTACACCCCCTTCCTGGCCAGGCCATTTTTCAGTATTCAGCGCCGCGGTACTTTGACTGACATTTATTCCGTCATGCAACGCTGTACGGAAATTCATTTTATATCATTTTTTGGGGACAGATAGAGCTTTCTTTGGATGGTATTTAATCTCCACTAGGGGGGTTTTATTTTTTACTATATTAAGGAAAAATTACTGAAAATTGTGAGAAAAAAAAAACGTTTTTTTACATTATGTTATAATACAATTATTATTACCCAATTTTTTGGTAAAATATAAAAGATGGGGTCATGTCGGGTAAATAGACACCAAACATGTCATACTTTAAAATTGCGCGCAACCGCAAAAAATGACAATACCCAAAATTGGCTATAGGCGACGCTTTAAACGCTTTTACCGCTCATCAGTTTAGCGTTATCAGTGATTGATGGCACTAAACTTATTGCTCTCATTGCGACATTCACGGTGATATGTAACATGTGCGGCGTAATGGGCGCAATCGTAATTTTCGCACATATACGCACCCGACGCATGTTTGCATGCGTGTATGTATGGGGACTTTTTAAAAAAAAAAATATTTTTCATGTATGACTTTAAAATAAAGCGAGCACTTAACAGTTGCAATGCTTGGGTAGCCCCACTGCAAGTGTACATGTGCAATTTCCCTGGGGTTCTTCTTTAAGGACCGGTATTCTGCAATGTATAATATTTTTGTTTTTGGGTTTAGATCAAATTAAGTGGTATAAACATTTCATACATTTGTTTACAAACCTTAGACTGGCCACATATGGTACTAGATTCATAACCAAGAGGCCATGAGAGACGTGTCCGCCATCTCTCGCACTGCTGGAGTGCTAAGACACATGACCTCGACCAGTAGATGGCTGACACATGCGCACAGTGTTCCTCTTGTCTCCATGGAAAAGGAAATGATTGATAGCACAGGTTATTGGTCTCCAGATAGTCCACTTATTGTTTCAAGAAATACTACAATCCATTACATCATCTGCTATTATTGTACAGTTGTTATATGTGGGGGCCCAAAAGACAGTCATTCCTATTGCACAATAGGCAAAGCATTATTTGCTTTCTATTGTGTGTGCAGTTGTGTCCAGTCTTGGCCAAAAATATTGGCACCCCTGCATTTCTGTGAGATAATGCACTGCTTTGGTCAGAAAATTGTTGCCATTACAAATGTTTCGGCATTCTCATGTTTATTTCTTTTGTTTGTATTGGTATGGAACAAAAAAGTGGAGACAAAAGAAGCCAAATCTGACACATTCCACGCAAAACTCCAAAAATGGACTGGACAAAATTATTGGCACCTTCTCCAAATTGCAAGAAATAATTGCATTCCAAGTTTTTTTGGAAAAGCATGGACAATCTTAAGGTTACAAGTCCATCTCCGGAGATCCTAATGTTCCTGTGTCTACTGAGAGCAACATTGTCAAGAAGTTTACAGCCCATGGCACTGTATCTAATCTCTCTGGACGAGGACAAAGGGAACAATTGATCAAAGATAATTACATAGTACAATACAAAATACATAATTGCTGATGTTATGTGTGGAATGCTGTATGTCTCACTTTTCTTTGCAGTAAGCTATAACCTGACATTTTATGACTCTCTCTCTCTCTCTTCAGAAGATGAACTACGTAGGGCAGCTGGCAGGCTCTGTACTGGGCCGTGTACGGGACTTGTATAAAGGAGTCAACCCAGCCACATTGTCTGGTGCCATTGATGTGATAGTGGTCCAACAGCCTGATGGCTCTTTTCGTTCATCACCATTCCATGTGCGGTTTGGGAAACTGGGCATACTGAGATCGTCTGAAATGGCGGTAAGTGCAAAAAGAGGCTCATCCAGTCCCTTTTTTAACAGCAGGCTGTCATGCTACAACCAGTAAGCCCTAGTTTGCAGATGGCCAGATCTCATTTATTTTGGCCACTTAGTAATTGGCTGTGGTGGATTATAATTTCTGGAATCTTGACATCTTCAACCTACATGTGTGGGCAATTTTGGAACATTTCCTATAACTCGGTGTTATAGGGCATTATGTATCAACATGAGTTATTTTCCCAAATCCACCAATCAGGTGCAGGCTTTCAGGGCTGGTCTGATGCTGACTGGTATGTGTAGGAGGAAAAGGGTGCTAGATCTTTATTGTTTCAAGGAATCTTGTCTTCTCTGAAGATATCTCCATTCAATGCACATACTATGAATTATTATTATTCATCTTCTTTGAGTCCAAACACTCACGAAGGGAACTAAGTATCAATTTAGTGAAGCCCTGATGAAGGGGACCCTTACTAACTAAAATATTTATGTTTTAAGGTCCCTTTTTTTAACAGCAGGCTGTCATGCTACAACCAGTAAGCCCTAGTTTGCAGATGGCCAGATCTCATTTATTTTGGCCACTTAGTAATTGGCTGTGGTGGATTATAATTTCTGGAATCTTGACATCTTCAACCTACATGTGTGGGCAATTTTGGAACATTTCCTATAACTCGGTGTTATAGGGCATTATGTATCAACATGAGTTATTTTCCCAAATCCACCAATCAGGTGCAGGCTTTCAGGGCTGGTCTGATGCTGACTGGTATGTGTAGGAGGAAAAGGGTGCTAGATCTTTATTGTTTCAAGGAATCTTGTCTTCTCTGAAGATATCTCCATTCAATGCACATACTATGAATTATTATTATTCATCTTCTTTGAGTCCAAACACTCACGAAGGGAACTAAGTATCAATTTAGTGAAGCCCTGATGAAGGGGGATTATTTGGGGACCCCCAAGATACATTGGCTGTTTTACCATATTGATCAGTTGAAATTAAATATTGTTCTGGACTCTATCAAAGTGTGGTGGCTGGTCATTGATCAGTGCCACCCCACGTTTTGCAAACATTGTCATCATCTTCACTGCTTGTTTCGGCCCAAAGTATTCTCTCTTTGGCTAGTGGGCAGCAACTGATGATGTAAGTCCTGCATATGCATGCTGGGGTGGCATTATCTCAGCACCTGGCCAAACTCCTGGCATCATACAGATAGCAGGGAGTGTAAGCTGCACTAAGCATGCGTTTTACTCAGTGCACAATTTTTAAACAATTGCTAGCAGACTAGTAAGGGCCTGTGTTGACAGGCTTTGGGCTTGTGTTGATGGCATCAGTTTGAGATACTTCTGAGATGCATTTGACTTGCAGTTGACCTCTATATGACCTGTATGGACCTGCAAATGGGGTGCAAGACGCGTATGGTGCTAACAAAATCCCATTAACACAGGCCTTAGAGGAATTTTCTGACAGAAGAGACATATGTTCTGTTCAATTCCACTTTAAGGTCCCTAGTAGATAGTGCAGTGCATCTTGCCCATTAAGCTTTGATAAATGATTAAGTCTTTTTATTTTAGGTCGATATAGAAATAAACGGAGAGCCTGTAGATCTGCAGATGAGACTTGGGGAAAATGGAGAAGCTTTCTTCATTCAAGAGATGGAAGACAATGAGGTAAATTAAATATTCATTAATTCATAATGCCGGGGAAGGGAACAAGTATCAGAAATGGTCAAGGGCCCGTCCACCCAAAACTAATGCTGGAGGTGCTCGCTAGTGAGGCGGTGCTCAGCCTTTCAGCCAATTGCATGATGGGAAAGGGGGGGAGGGTGGTAACATCACCATTTTCACTGCACTCAGTCACCAGCCAGAAATAACCACCATCAGGTGTGAGGGCCAGCAATACCCTTGATCAAATGCCAGGGCAAGCAACAACCCCTACAGGTGTCAGGGAAAGCATAAGCCCCAAGCACAAAAATAATTCTCCAGCAGCAATAATGTCTCCCCTCCAGCAGCAATAATGGAAACCTAGTAGCAAAAATGAACCCCCAGTAACAGTAATGCAGATTTTTTATGGTTATAAATAGATCTCCATACTGAACATATGGACCACCAGCAGCAACACTAGACCCAACAGCAAAAATAGACCCCAAAACAGCAACAGTGGACTCCCAGAAACAATAATGAGCCCCTGGCAGCAAAAATTAGACCCCAGTAGCTATAATGGACCTCCAGTACTGATCATGAACCCCCCCTCTCCCCAGTAGCAATTATGAACCCCCAGCAGCAATAATGGAGCTTAATGCACATTATGTCACACATTAATGTGCATCCCATTAAGGCAGCCCATTCACAACCAATGGGCTGCTAATGCATACTAACATGTCTGCAACATCACATGACCATTTTTTGTGATGCAATGCATGGCAACACAATACCATGCATAGATTATGAATGAACATGAGTGGCACACTGCAAAATTGTTTATTGGAAGAGGAAACCACTTTGGTGTTCTTTTAGTGCTTGCAGCTATTGGTATATTGGCGCGAGGTAATATAAATCATTAACACAATACCATGCATTGCCATTTGTTGCAGCGCACTACAATGCAGATGCATTGCCTTTGTGCATTGGGGTTACATTCAGAATGTATGTCACCACAACGCATGCTATGTACATTAACACAACAAGGATTGTGAATCTGGCCTGACTAAAAATCTAAAAAGATAACTGGGACCTAATTATATAGGATGTGCAAGGTGGACAGTGTTGAGTAGTTAGGTGCAAGGAGTCTCTAAGATTTATACAAAGCTGGTATGTGATTGAACATACAAGCGTGTACTTAGCACTGAAATTATACTTTTGGGTAGAATGATCCTTTAACACTGTTTTTGTTCACTTCAAAGGAACATGACTATTCCATCACCCCAGTTCCCCATGCCCAGGATTTCTTATCTACTCATCATGTCAGTAACGATATAGCAGAGGCCCCCCCAGTTCCCGATCCCACCCTGTCTACACTGGACACCCCCACCAGGAGGCAACGTTGGAGTACCAGAAGAAAGAAGAGCAGAGGGGATGAGACTTTGGGAGCTCAGGATAAAGATGGAATTGCTGGGCTGCCTTTGTGGTGAGTAATGATAATTTGTCCGGTGTTTTCGACTTTGTGTCATGGGTAGACGTGTGACACCATAAACATCTTGGTACATGTGTGACCATGACAAACTGCTACATGGCAAAATTCCAGTGCTGAGCGACATTACATTAATGAGCCTCGGTGCTGACACAATCTAAAGTCAGACTCAATGTGCTGCATAGCAACTGCGTGTTATTGACATACACTGCCAGCGTTATATTGCTCTGTACCAAAGGTGATAATCCTCCTCCTGACCTTGCAGCCTGAGCTATATTTACTTACATCTATTTTATTAAATGTTAAAAGTGGAAGGTTTACTGTAATATTAGACCTGACCTTGTGATACCAGTTAGGCCGCCGATACAGGGACATTGTCCCAGGCAGAGAGTGCTAGTCGGCAGTGCAACACACCTGAGGGGGACGTGAACTGTACAGAGATTAGCATGTTTGTCTTAAAGCTGAAGTTTAATCTGCTTATTTTTTTGTTGTTTTCATTTTATAGCTTGTTTTATACCCAGTGATGTAATCACTGAGTCTCTGTGCTTCTATATGCAAGAGCAGATGTAGAGCATCCAAGATTGCTAAGGGCTAACAGCAACCTGGGACTCTCTGGGTGGCGTCCCACCCAGCTCCTGGCAACCTGTGACGTCACCGGTTGGCAGGAGCTGAGCGGGACTCTCTGGCCAGTGTCAATCCCATCCCCCCTGA